TGTGTGTGTGTGTGTGTGTGTGTGTGTGTGTGTGTGTGTGTGTGTGTTTGTGTTTGGCTTCTCTGCCTAGGAACCAGGTGAAATCCGAGTACCTGATGTCAATGGAAAGCTCTGACGGTCTGTTGGAGGAGATCGGAGCTCAGGCTCTGGCCACTGCAGCGTACCAGGTCCCTGATGCTGTTCTCCAGGCTGTAGATGCCGTCAGCCACGACGCTGTGGTCGCGGTGAGTGCCTCTACTGCTGCTTCCATCTTCAACCAAATCACAGACATTAAGCGACTAGCTGGTGAACACAGTGGAGCATTAAGCAGCTAAAGAAACGGATATTTCCCTTTAGGAGTTGGTGGAGACCAAAATGAAGGCACATGGGAGAAGTTTGCCGTCAGGGCTTTCTGGCAGAAAGGTTTTATTTTAACCCAAAACATGACCTTTTCTTAAATCTAATCAAGCTGGTTTGTTGCATAAACCCAAGTTAATATTAAGGAGATTTCTGGCAGAAAGCCCTGAAGGAAAACTTCTCCCATGCGTGTCTTTTCTTTAACTTTTTGTACAGATGATGTGTGTAAAATAGAGAAAAAACTAAATGCAGAAATGTGTAGTTACAGAAGTTTATGCATGAAGATGTATTTATCTGTTTTTGTTCAAACTGTTCCTTATGTGCTGTATTTAATGACAGTAAATGGAGTTGTTTTACTGTTTGAGTTATATCACCACATAGGAACTAACTAAGCAGTAAATTAATCATTTTTAAAACTATTTATTTTTTTCTTTACAGGCTGCAAAATCCTTTGTGGATGGCAAGAAGACCATGGCAGCTAGTGGACAGCTGGTGAATACACCGTTTGTGGACGAAGTATGAAGATAAAAGTCTAAGTTGATTTTAACTCGGGCATGTTGTGCCTGGCTTCTTCAAAAGAAAATAGGACCCCAAAGCCTCCTACAGCAAGTCATTTGATGTCCCCAATCATTTGTAGTCTGTCCTGTAAGCACCAACAGAGAGCCAGGGATTCAAAATGCAATTTGTTTTTGTTTTTTTTGTCAATTTAACTGTATATCTATGTAAATTAAAGACAGTAATAACCGCTGGTTGTTGCTTGGATTTGTATTTCGGAATGAATCCAGATGCGCTGAAGGTTTTCATTGCTGTATAAAGAGTGTGAGGGTCATCTGGTGGTTTTAAAAAAGCTGTTCAGGCAGCAGCTATTTTTAGCATTTAAGAGATGTTGTTCTGCACATTCACCAGTAGGGGGAGCCAAAAACAAACACGCAGGATTGAAAGTTGCCAATGTCACACATTCTACTGTTTTTGCATGTGGAATAAGTATTGAGTATAATTTAAGTAAGGGAAGCAATACCAGCTAAATGTAAACGATCAAAATAAAAATGCTTTACTCATAAGAATGCCTTTAAAACAATCTTATGATTTATAACATTATTGTGAAGAAAGTACAACATTTAGAAGAAAAAATATAGTACTTACACACAGTACTTGGTTAAGGTGTACCCTAAACATGAATAAGCTCATGGCCTACGTGAATAGCCAGATTGTTTGATGGCCCTGGAGCAACAACATTGCTGTACTCGTGTAATGAACTAATACCGTTTTGTTAGTTTATGGTAAATGTATTTAGGGTTGGAACTAATATAACTACTGATAAAGCTGTTTTTTGGTTCTAAATATAATATATATTATGCAAGATTAAGTGTGAATTAGGGTTTGGGTCAAAACACAATTTCTCAGAGCCCAAGGTGAAGTATTTAAATTGTTTGATTCAAGATCCATATTTTTTGTATGCCCTATCATTTCAGCTCTGGCTCATTTAAACACCTTTATTTAGGAATATGCTTCATGTGAGCACTCTAATGTTAAAACACCAAAATGATTAAATTAGATTTCGACACAAGGACAGGATAGTTTATATTCTGTTATCACCCTTATATACAGTCCGTGGTTATCAGAGAACCCCACAAAGCAAATAGGCCGACTCAGGACAACATGAACCCCGTTTTTTGCAAAGTATCGCGAGAAGAGAACTGATGCCCCCCTCCTCAACGTGAAGATACTGAGCTCAGTGTGTGTGTCGCTGCGTGGGGGGGGTGGGGGGGAGTTCTCCTGATGTCATTTGGCAGAGAGGGAGGCTGAGCAAACGGGTGGAAAGCACAACAATAACGTTACTGCTTTTAGCCGTCCACACCGGGACTTGTGACGTCTTCTGTGGGATTTAAACACACAGCGTTAGATACCGTCCTACCTCACCGAAGAAGAAGACGAGCGAGAGGAGGTGAAGCTAACGGTCTGAAAGTACCAGATGCTATACCAGCGAAGAAGAAGGAGAACGGGATGATGGGTTCTCGCTCTCTCGCTGACGGATAACGTGAGACCTTTTTCTAGGAAACAAGGATACCACGAAGTGAAGGGAACTTTGCTCCGCTTCCTCTCCACCACCGTGTCTGTGTGTGTGTGACATTGTGTCTGAAATGCTAGCGCGGTCTCGGCCGTGGAGCAGCCTCTGGGCCGCAGCTCGGCTCACCGAGAGCCAGAATCTGTGAAATAGCTAAGCTAGCTTCTCTAGCTAGCCGCATCTGTGCCCGATGCTGCTGCTGCTGCTGCTAAACGGATCCGAGGGACGACACAAGCGCGCGTGAGTGAGCCGTTTGGTTTACCGTACTTGACCTACAAACGGGCATTTGAGATGTGATGCTTTTTGTGCCTCGTATTTGAGTCTTTTTGTAGCTGGGGGCTAAGGAGCTAACGTTGCTGCAGAATGCCGAGCAGAACCACAGCAGCAGCAGCAGGCTCCCGTTGAAGGGGGCGAGGTTAGACTGAACAGCCCCACAGAGTCTCTCCACACTCGGGGGTCACATATTGGACAACGACCCCCCCCTCACGTCATTCGCCGCCTCATCAGCTGGCGACATGGATAAACTCACGATCATTTCAGGGTGCCTGTTTCTGGCAGCAGATATCTTTGCAATAGCCAGCATTGCAAACCCAGACTGGATCAACACTGGCGAATCAGCAGGTAAATGAAGACACAGCAGCCATTCACAACTACTATTATGTTGGTTTTTAGCAGGATTTCTTGCCAGTGTCCCGTCCTCCCCCCCCCCCCACACACACACACACACTGCAGGGGATGTTGGCACATCAGATAATCTCCACAACAATGATATGCTCCATTGTGTGGAGGGTTTCATCTGCAGCAGCATCTTTCGTCCTCCACAGCAGCGTCTTCTATGCATATTTATGACTATTAACTTACAATTTCATCCCTGATTGAGCAGCAACATGGACCTCTGTTGCTTTTTAGGGCAGCAGCTGATTGTTATTTGCACGACTCTTGGTAAATAAATGCATCTTTAGTCTTTAAAAATGTGAAAATGACAGTCAGGTTTTCCTGGATTCCAACGTGATGTCTTCTAATCACCAGTGTACACAAAACAAAAATGATATTTAACTTGCAGTGATATTTAAAAAGGACAAGTAGGTCATTGTGATGCTGAAACCAGAGACTGTTTGACCTTTTGCTGAAATTTGTATTAATCAAGTCTCAGGAAATTCATTGCAGATAAGCGATCTATGAATGAATTTATCAAGCCTACAATGCCAAACACTGGCTTGTAATTGCTGCTTAGACGGGAGGATTTGCTGCTTTTCTATGTTTTACGTTATAAACATTTTTCGGGTTTTCAACCTGGGTGAAGCAAAATAACCAATTTCTAGGATTTGACAATGTGCTCTATGGAAATGTTATAGACTACTAGTTGATTAATGGAAAGAAAAGAAACAGCTTGATCATTAGTTGCAGTCTTTTATTCTGTCAACTGACTAATTGATTCTTATCATTTAGAGCACTAAAAGTTATTGCGGTCCCGTGTTTCTCTGGTGACTTGACATTTGAAGTGACCCACATGTGATCAGTCCAATCAGCGCTCACTTGAGGATCCAAGGCAGGTGCTCATTTGTGGCGTCCCTGCTGATTTTTGGGACAGAAGCACACGTGCTGTGAGTCCTCGCTTTATTTGTGTCGGTCTTGGAAAAACACATTCAGGCTGTTGATAGGCAGCTGCTCCTCTTTGTTCCCTCGGCAGGATGACAGCTTAGTAACTGGGTCAGGGAGGGTCCATCGTCCACCGACACACACCCGGGCTGTATTAAGCCATCTGTATAACAACAAGTAATAATAGGATGCAATATGAAGCCACCATCTATACTTGATCGTATCTAAAGTAAAAAAAAAAAAAAAAAAAAAAAAACGTACGACAGCCAAAGAATAGTTTCTCACTACTTGTACACTGCATGGACCAGAAGTTGATACTTTGCTACATTTAAACTGAGTGTGGGTGTTACAGAGTTTCACACAGCGGCCGACTTCCACCTCGCTGTCACTGTTCTCACTTCCCCTCGGCTTCCACGGCCCTCTTTGATGGTCGTGATGTAACTTCTCCTTTTATGGTTTAATGAGACACGCAGGTGATGGACTACAACTCTGTCACACTTTTGTTTCTCACCATTCTGAGAACGCACCAGCCGCTGTATTAGTTCACTATCATATATGATAGTAAAGTAATATATGATGGTATACTAATACAGGTTTTTAATCCAGTCAATATTATGCCAGAAAGGCAGTTAGTTTGCTTGTAAAGGACATTTGGTGTAGATTTTTCCCCCTGGGCAGAAGGTTTCAGTATCTGCCCATCTTGTTATGGCATGAGTAGCAAATTAATCTTCTAATAGCCTATTTATATTGTCTAGTATGTGAAAATAAATGCAGGTAGTCGTTCTACCGCTTCACATAACTCAGCGTTGTGTGTGTTATAGTGTTATTTGTGACAGAGCCTCGAGTGTTTAAAGGTGATTATATCTTTATGGGTTGAGTGTGCCGTCTCAACCACACATTTGTGGTTAGTTTTTGCGGTGCCACTTTTCTTTAACCAAAATATCAAATGAATAGTAAGTTAATTATTTATGTGTCTCTATAATGTAGTTGTAAATCAGGGCAAGTTTATTTATATGGCACATTTCAGCAACAAAGCAATTAAAGTACTTTACATAAAACATCAAAAGCATTGAGACAAAGTGCAAAAGAAACATTTAAATAGAAGTTATCTTGTCATTCCAAGATAAGAAAATAAAACAAGCTAAAATGTGCTTTCTTTCCCCCTATATGTTGTCTACTTATTCCCTATTTCTTGCGACCGTGGTTCCTCTCTTGGCCTGTCTTGTCTTTTAAGATGGTTTGGGCATATTACATAATTTTCTCTTTTGAGGCTCTGTTAAAGAATCTTCCGTGTGGTTCCTCTGTTACAGGCGACATGACGCTAAATAGGCTTGAGAGACTCATTTCTTGCAGTGTGTGTAATTGTGACTAAGTTATTTTGGAGTTTATTATTCATCACGAGCTGTCTGCACTGTTTTGTCCACGCCGTTACACAGACTAGTGAGTTGCTTGAAGTTGTTATGAGTCCCCCACATTGTGTTACCTCCATCAGCTGACCTCTGGTTCCTCGCTGTGTTGTTGTCTTGTCAGAGGGGCTCAGCGCTCAACAACTCGCCCTTGTTGGACCTCAGCGGGTCGTCTTTGTGCTCAGAGCGTGGAGAAACAGACGTGTTCTCCTGGGCAGTTAGCATCAATAAAAGATGACTCTGCTGGTTTGATCAAAGCTTTCTTTTTACATGTAAACAAACCGTGGGACTTGTGCATAGTCTGACGTCTAAAATAGATCTAGTTGGAGAACATTAAATTGTGTTATTTTAGGTATCCCTGTTCAAAGCACAAGGACACACGGTGTCAATTGATGCAAAGCGACTGAAACCAGGCTCAGCCAATATCGTCTAGTTACAGAGATGCAGAGTCAGCAGTTCTGACCTGCAGTTCAGTCCACCCTGTGCCACCAACGGGAAAAGGACAAAAACACCAGCACTGGTCCAGAACTGCAGAGGTAAACATGACGATGTGCAGCAGAGTGTTGATTGTGAGCTTGTAACTGACTCCCTGCAGGTGGCCCGAGTGTTAGAATTGAAGCAGATATTACTTTCATCGCCTGTTGCGGTGGAAGCATTTCAACGGCTGCCTACTCACTTATTTTGCATTGACATAGGCACGGGGGTTGTAGATTCGATTAGACTAGATTCATCATTTAGCACTTAGGTTTCAGAGAATACAATACTCTCCAATGCTCTCCTGGGCTTGTCTACCACGGTTTGCATCCAAGTTTGGAGCGTACACATCAGCTGTGCTCCAGTGGCCCTTGCAATGCAAGTGGGCGCTGTAAAAGCCTCCAGCAGCAGAAGACACAGCTGCCTATATGCCGCCCACCACAGTTCAGAGGCCTGTTTGACTCATCCCCCCCATAATCCACTAATGACCGCATCATTATGCTGAAGATGAGCAGACACATTTCCTCTCATTTGGACCGAGACACGGTGAGAGGAGTATTTTGTTAAAATAAGCGGGACCCCAAAATGGAGAATTGGCCCATTATTTTCCGAAAAAAAACCCAGATTTGTTTGTATACTAAAGATAATCCATTTTGGCTCGGGGTACGGTCACACTGGCTGCCTCCCATTTACTTCAATTGAAGCCGGTGCAACAGATGAGTTCAAGCATTTTGTTCTGGTTTGTGTGAAGTTGTTGGTCGGAGCTCAAGCTTGGTGTGAATGTGCACGATCAGCCAATAGAAATCTCTCTGCTTAATGTGTCTGCTCTGGTTGGGTTTGTTAGGTTTTGGCTTGTGGAGTGGGATTGGCCAAAGTAAGAATAGCCAATCAGAGGCAGAGTAGAGTGGGTCATGCCAACCTAGAAGAAATAATCTCGTCAGGCACATACCTCTCCTAAAACAGCAAATTGTCTCATGCAACCACTTTAGTCTCCACCCATCTGATAACAATAAAACAAAAATATAAGATTTTGAAGTCATTGTTGGAACTGTAATGGTATTATTAAGTACTCTCATCGATACTCTGTCTCGGCAAATATTCAAATGTAAGCACTTGCACTTTCAATCGCTGGTTTCAACACAGTTTGATCTTCATTTAATAAATGATGGTCCTATTTCGAGTAAAACGGACGATAAAGCCGCGTGTGCTTCAGGGCGGGGCTACATGGGGTGATTGACACGCCGTTCTCGGTCTGGGAGTCGTTCAGGTTTACGTCTTACTACTTTAACCTTTTCTGTGTGTGTTTTCAGTTTATAAAAGTTAATTAACATTTTTGTCGCCTGCAAATGTCTTATTTAGCGACAGCCAAAAATGCCAAATTTAAGGCTTTAAACCGTAACGAATGGGTGACGTCACAGTGATTATATCCAATTTACTTGCCAACATATCGATCTGTTTATCTTCATGCATATTCTTCGTGCATAGCACAGTCAACGTTTTCTAGTTCTGGCCGTTGAAGTGAAGTCTCCCATGAATGAATGAAACGTACTTATTATGAGCACACTGTTGCTGTTTGAGCATCAGACCGACGTTAACGGGAACTCTTTGTTTATGCGCCTGCTTGTTGATTTGTTTACCTGTATCCGTGTGCCGTAGCGTGCCTGCCTCAGGCAGGAATTCCACAGAGAGCTCGTGAAACAGCAGGAGGCCGGAGGATCCAGAGGAAACGGTCATAAACCGGTGCCATTAACCGCAGCTTTTAAACCTTTTGATTAATGTTGCCCTGTTCCCAGCACCAGCCTTTACTTCGCTCACTCCCCCGTGTACTTAATCTGCTCGAGGTTACTCTGTACTGACTTCTGGGCGAAGCTGTTGAGTAAGCCGAACAGCCAGGTGCCATTTTTGTCACAAGCCATGACCTCCATCTTTTTTTTTTTTTTTTTCTCTTCACACTTTACTGTTATTGCATATGTGTTCTGCTCGGCGATAATTGAATTGCCATAGAAATAATTGAAGACTGAGAACATCCTTTTTTTGTTTTTCTGTCTGTGTGTGTGTGTGTGTGTGTGTGTGTGTGTGTGTGTGTGTGTGTGT